CTCTGACCCTTTCTGTTTTATTATCTTCAATAACACTTATAATTTCTGAAATTATCTTTCTCTTTACTTTTTTGTTGTCCATCTCCCTCCATTAGAATATGAACTTCATAAAAGCAGGTTTCTCACCCATTATGTTCTCACTGCTTCAACCTAAGTTCATAGAGTGGCACAGAGTGGGATCTCAATAAATTCTGTTTTAATTAATTTTTTTCAACTACTGCAGAGGAACGCTACTACTATTAAAAGTTGAATTAAACTTTTCTAGTCTCTCAAGAACCCAGGCACTAGGATACTTCCCAGTTTGCCAGTTGCCTGGATTGTGTCTTTTTACAATTTCAACAAGTTTTCAAAATAATCAAATACAAAATTTTATACTTTAGGGCTTCCCTGGTGGCGCAGTGGTTGAGAGTCCGCCTGCCGATGCAGGGGACATGGGTTCATGCCCCGGTCCGGGAGGATCCCACATGTTGCGGAGCGGCTGGACCCGTGAGCCATGGCCGCTGACCCTGTGCGTCCGGAGCCTGTGCTCCGCAGCAGGAGAGGCCGTGTACCGCAAAAAAAAAAAGTTATACTTTAGCAAGTATACTCCTTAAATAATGTATCCTTTATGAAAGGATAAATACCTATGAAAGAAAAATAGAAATCCATTTCATCATTAATTTTTTCTTTTCTTTCTTCTTCTATATATGAAGGACTTTATGAATTACTGTGAGCTTAAGGAATTTGTTCCTTGGAGAATAGCTATTTTTCTTTTTTGCCATCTTGCTAAAATTGATCACAGATGGTACAAAGGTCACCTGCAGAGCAGGCTGTCCCCAAAGTCCTTAAATGTCAAATTAATGAGACTTTACTGTATAAAAATGACTATAAGAAAGAAAATGTTTGATCAGAAGTGACTATGTTCTTTGATATAGCTTGGGACTTTAAATTTTATTTTTTAAAAATGATATTGGAAAACTAAAGAATTCAATGGAAAAATAGGCAAAGCATAAGAATATTCTCAGAAGAAGAAATCTAAATCGCCACAGACATACGAAAGCATCCTCAGTCTTACTAATAATCAAAGAAAAACAAGTTAAAATGACTATTATTTTTACTTATCAGATTTGCAAAAATTTAAAAGATCAGTAGGGCTTCCCTGGTGGTGCAGTGGTTAAGAATCTGCCTGCCAATGCAGGGGATACGAGTTTGAGCCCTGGTCTGGGAAGATCCCACATGCCGCAGAGCAACTGGGCCCATGCACCACAACTACTGAGCCCACATGCCACAACTACTGAAGCCCGCCCGCCTAGAGCCCGTGCTCCACAACAAGAGAAGGCACAGCAATGAGAAACACGCACACTGCAACGAAGAGCAACCCCCGCTCGCCGTGACTGACAGAAAGCCCGTGCACAGCAACGAAGACCCAACGCAGCCAAAAATAAATTAATTAAATTAAATTTAAAAAAGAAAAAGATCAGTAATATATAATCCATGTTAGCAATGAGGCAGGGCAAAAAACACTCAGGTACAATGTTGGAGGGAGTATATATTAGTATGTTTTTGGAGGGTAATTTAGCAGCATCTATTCAGTTTTAAATATGCATGTCCTTTGACCTGCAATTAGACATCTACACGTCTATCCTTCAGAAATACTGGACATGTGTACAACAAGAAAATTCACTGCAGCATTATTTGTAACAGAAAAATCAGGAATAACTTGATTAAATGTCCACCAATAGGAGTATGGCTAATAAACACTGGTGTCTTAAAACAAATATAGATTAGGAAGCTTTAAAAGAAGTATGGTAGCTCCTCTGTTAGCATAGAAAGATGTCCATGATCTACCCTGTAGTTAAAAACAATACACAGCACTATTAAAACTGCATTGATATATTTTTTGTTTTTTTCACACGTAAACCTACAGCCTATTTTCAATACAGCAGCCAAAGTTATCCTTTTGAAACGTAAGTCAGAACCTTGTTACCTCTTCACTCAAATCCCTTCATTGGCTTTTCTCTCACTCATATTCAGCGTCCTCACCAGGATTTCCACTCCCCATATGATCTGGCCCTCTGCTACTGCTCTTACTTTCTTCCTCTGCCCTCCCTCCCTCAGCTCTCATCATCTTGGCCTTATCTCCAGCCCTCAGGGGTTTTGTACTTGCTGTTGCCTTTGGCTGGGACTCTGTCCCCCAGATCTCCCCATAGCTGGTTCCTCCCATCCTTCACATCTCTGCCCAAATGACACTTTCCAATGACCACTGTCCCTGAACACAGTCTATGTTTTGGGGGAGTACACTCCTCCTCACCCCTCCCCTTGCCAAAATAGAATTTTCTATTCTACTTCTCTGCTTACCTGTTCGTCACCCCCTTACCACCATTTGCTACAGGATATATTTCCTTCTTTATTGGTTTGTGGTCTGTCTCCCTCCTCCAGAAATGTAAACTCAATGAGGGCTGAGATTTTTGCTCTTTTGTCTCATTATTGGATTCCCAGCACCTAGAATAGTATCTGGCACACAGTAGGTGCTCAGTAAGTATTTACTGAATGAGTCAATAAAATTTCATTTTTATACGTGCATAAAAACAGATGTGGAAAAATAAACAGCAAACTATTGACAGTGATTATTTCTGGGGAGTGGGATTGGGAGCTGATGGGAAAGTTTCCATCCTAACTGGGTACATTTCTGCATCATTTGGAATATGCACCACTTAGGTTATTAAAAACTAAATAAAAAATATTTTAAAGGAAAAACATAATGGTTCCACATAATGGTTCCATCTCTCCTTCCAAGTGACTCAAAGCAGTCTTTGGGCTCTTTTCTAGAAACACAAAACAATTTCTAAAAAGAACTATCCTAGGTTTTTCTCCATGTCTCCACTGCATGTGTCATCAGCACCATTAAATAGATCAGGAATATAAGACACACACACACACACACACCACGGTTTGCCCGTGCCAGGAGTCTGCTGGGTAAAAAGCCTTTCTAACTAACACACCTGACTCCTCTTTACACCCACTTCCTCCCTCCAGCAGGAGGAAGGAGTTTCACTGGTAGTTCCTTGTGCTGTTTCCTTGACATGGTAAAATCTTTAACACTGCTGTCAGGCAGGGTGAACCTGACGTTGTGGACTACAAAATTCATCCAGTGCTAGAGGGAGCTCTTGAGACAAGACACATGGCCTCTCTTAGAAGCAAATCCAACTTAACTCAGCGTGATAAGCATCTCAGGGACACCGTTCACACACACAACAGCTACACAAATCTTGTACTGAGTGTCTTTCACCAGCTGTCACGGTCATGAGGCCTCTGTTAAGTAACTCCTAATCCTCCCCCTGAGGCCTCTATTCCCCAGAAGCAACCCCATGGTAGTACTAATAATACTCTCACTGGGAGTTGTTCCACAGGGCCCTTGACACTAGCTTTTCCTGAACTCTTAACTGACCCATAAACCTCCCTGGTGAGCCTGCAGGGCCTCTTCCCACAGGACAGAAGCTGGGGGAAGGGGTGCAATTCAGCTCTGAGAGGCCAGAAGGAGGCTGGCCCGCCTATCCTGACAGTTTCTGCAACTCACCCTGGAAAGCAGGGCAGCAACAGCCAACTCTCATCACCATTTTGGTATGGAAACTGGAACTCTTAGAATTTTCAGAGAGAACCAACCAACCAGCTGGGTTGTTCTTACCATTTTTTTTTTTTTTTTTTTAAGGAGAGTCAGCTGGAATGAAAGTCAAGACTATCTGAGAACCAGCCCCTGGTGGACAGTTACACTGATTTTACACATGATTTTCACTATGTTTTGGCAAAGGAACAGAGTTGGGCTGTGGACCTATTGCTGACAATTCTGAACAAGTGCCTCTGGGCTCAGCTTTGTTTCTTCAGAAACACTGGTTTATCACTCCTTAGCTCAAGCATCATTTCTCAGGCCTCATGATTCCAATGACACTTCAGAAAGGACATCAATTTACTCTGGAGGGGTCTGGTTATCGAATTTCACCTTTCTTGGGAGCAGAGCACAGGCTTTGGAGTGGGACCATCCATGGGACCTTGAGCAAGAGCACTTATCCCTCTGAGCTCCAGTTTGCTCATCTGTAAAATGGAGATAATAATACCTACCTGGTAAGATTACTGGAAGGACTGAATGAGGTCATGCAGATATAATGCTTAGTGCTACGCTTGTGACAGATGAGGATTCAACAAATGGTTACAGTATTACTGTAAAGAGAGACCCTAATTTCCCCCCATCTAAGACTTTTTAGGTAGAATCTCTCATAATTGCCCAGAACAGTCTCTCACAACAAACAAATCTCAAGACTGACCACCCTGGAACGTCTTGCCCAGATTCCTCTTGCCTGGAACTTCATCAGAGGAATAGAATTGATATTGCTCAAGTTCCAGGCCTCAGGCTTAATTCTGATACATGCACACACACACATACATACACAGACCACCACCGCCACCACCACCAACAACATACACTGGAACTGACACTACTAGAAAGCTTGGGCCATAGCTCAGGGATCTCATAAGGCAGCTGAGCGACCCCCAGCCTTGCCTCTGCACAAAACTATGGACAGGAGTTTGTTCCTTGTCACCATGTGTCACACCAGAGGGATGATAGGGGAACTGTGATAGTGGAGTGTCGAGAAGGCTCATGGATGCCTTATACTTGCAGTCCTGCCCCAGCTGGGGGACCACAGTGCTTTGAAGACCATGGTCCCTCAGATCCTTAAGGGGCAACACTCCCTCTTCTCATCAACCCTGCCTCTTCCATTCTGTCCCTCAACCCAACAGACAGTTATTAAGTGCCAGGCACTATGCCAGGTGCTGGGGGGCTCCTGATCCTGTAGGCAAGGCCAATACCCACATGTAGTTCTCAAATGAGTGTGGGTGTCCCAGGTGTTCTCTGGAAGAAGCCTGGGGAGAAAGGATGGGCCAGACTTGCTTTTGGTTACCCTTAGTGTTTTTGGAGCTCAAGACAGTTCTGTTAGCAAGAATGTCCCGGCCAGCAGGCCACTCACCACATTGGTTTCCTACATGGCCCTGACCCACTCCACAGGACTCCGCCCAGTGTTCAGATGTTTGGGGAGACTTTTTAGCCACTTCGAGGTCCACGCCTGAGAGCTGGAGGTGAAACTGCTCCCTGTGGGCAGCCTTCCGGAGCGTGCGGATGGCCTTCCGGAGCCGCTTCTCTGTTCGCTTTATGATGCAACTCGGATCACAAGAGGCTGAAGAAACGAGAGGGACAGCAGTGGAGGGGTCAGGCTGCAGCATGTGAGCATGTCCAGACCAACTGCAGGACCCACAAACACCCACAGCTCCCTGTGCACAGCATGGGGAGAGGCTTGGAGCTGGGGACCTAGCAGGCTGGGCAGCATTCAATTCAAACAGAAATTTGTTGACCAAAATGGTAGCTTTGGGTTTTGATGAAGCAGATAAAATCATCAGGTTCCAAAACAATTCAGTTTAGTTTGGGGGTGAAAAAAAACAGGAGATACTTCAGTGGTTGCATTATTTCCGCCCCCCCCACCCCCCCCCACCCCGGCCCCCCGCCCCCCGAAAGGCAAAGAAATAAGGAGCAAGCCGTAAGAAGTCTGGCACCACAGACTGTTTTCAAACCAACCTGTCACCTCCTTTTGGTTAGTTTCAAGCTCAAACTCAACAGTGATAAACATTTCCTTAGGGGTGCTCGGTCGTCCGGGGGCTCCCGGGACTTGCTTGCCAGAGCTGCATGTAAGGTTTGCGTAGCGGAAGCTCTCTTTTACTGAGCTGTGCTTCTCTGTATGAAGAAACAAAATTATCGGAAGCCAAATCCTGGCAAAGCGCTCAGCTGAACATTCGCTACAACTCTGTAAACATTTCATTAGAACAACTCTCAAGGGACTAGATGATTAACTCCATATGCCAAGATGCTGCAAGCCCTCAGCTTGCAGCACGATGACACTTCAGTCCTGAAGAACCAGTATTGCCACCTATATAACTTTACAATTTAGCTCTTGAAACTTATTTTCATGAATAAATGCTGGATGTTTCCGACTGACCGGCCACATCTGTGGAAGATGGGGACCAAAGATCGTCTTGCATTCCTGACTGGTAATTTGTTAAGGTGCATTCATGTTCTCACAGTTGGTTTCTTTAAAGCTGGACTATGATGTCTCAAGCAGGGGCTGAGGGGCTTCAAGTAAGGAATGAGCACAGGAGTAGCAAGGAAATTAACTCCTGCTTTCAGGCAAACTGACCTTGGAGTAATTCCAACCCAAAGGGAATGCTGGAAAGCACATCAACAATGATGGCTCATTTTGAAATAACCAGGAGCAATAAATGGCACAAAGAATCAACAGAACCAAACAATATCATGAAGGCACGTAGGATGGGAGTGAAAGTGTTATGTAAGGCAGGGCTTTGTGCATCCTCATTCCTGACTTTGGCCATCACTCCTCCCTCCATGGCTTCCAGTGAATCTTTTAACTAATGATTGTTAACCAGAACCAAAGAGCAGGTCCACATACCATCCACACAATTAACTAATCTTACTTTATTGAACTGAAGAATTATCTGTATTGTGTTCTTCTCTAACATTATAAGGATGTTCAAATCAGCAGGTCATCAGGACCAAAGGAAGGAGAAGGCAAATTAATTTTTCCCTAAAGATCTATCTTACCTTTTCAAAAGGCTAACTTCACATCTCAAACTGAACAGATGCTCATTCTGAACCTGTTTTCCTTTCCATTTTTCCATATCTATTTTTTAAACTTTTTATTTTGAAATAAGCTTAGACGTATAGAAAAGTTGCTAAGAGAGTACTCAGAGTTCCCATATACTCTTCACCCAGTGTCCCCTAATGTTAACATCTTACATTTACACATATCTTTATCAAAACTAAGAAATTAACATTAGTACAATACCATTAAGTGAACTAAAGACCAAATCTTTTTTTTTGGGGGGGGGTACGCGGGCCTCTCACTGTTGTGGCCTCTCCCTTTGCGGAGCGCAGGCTCCGGACACACAGGCTCAGCGGCCATGGCTCACGGGCCCAGCTGCTCCGCGGCACGTGGGATCCTCCCGGACCGGGGCACGAACCCATGTCCCCCGCATCGGCAGGCGGACTGTCTATCACTGTGCCACCAGGGAAGCCCCCAAATCTATTTTTAAATAATGCTTTCCCCTCTGATATAAGTATAAATGCTCACTGTGGGGAATTTGGAAAATGCAGGAAAAAAGTTAAAATCACTCATCATCCTTCCACCCACATATAACCCACTAATAAGGACATGGTTGAGTTTTCTTTGTTTTTCTTCTACTCACGCTTTTTCTTATACAATTTAGGTCGTATTAGATATACACGATGTTACTCTCTCTTTTTCCATCTTAGCATTATAACAAGAACATTTTCTAATGTCATTAAACATTCTTTGAAAACCCATAATTAATAGCTGCATAATATTCCATCAAATGGAGGTGCCCAAATTAATCTTGGTTAGTTACTTAAAATAAGCACTCAAATGTGACTAGAGTGATTTTGCATTTATTTGTTTGTACAATTTATTTGAGGGTAGATTGGGGAAAGAACCCTCCCTAATACATGACTCCTGATTTTTTTTTTTTCTAAAATTATTCTATGAAATAATACTGGAAATGTGAGCTGGGGAAGAAAGAAGAATGTTGGATTCTGCTCTTTTCATAAGGCCAGGTCTACTTGGAGAGTATTTGTTCTGCTGAAGCCAAATGGCATCACTGCCTCCAAAAACTAAATCCAGCAGGAAAGCTGGATATTACATCTTTGTTCATCAAAGATTACCCTTTCTGAGCCAAACCTTTTTTTCATTTCTTTGGATTCGGATTTTGGATTATTTTAAGGAAACTCTAAGGTCTAGAAAATTTAACCCAGTATGATCACAAAGTACTAATGCACCTTCAGCCCTCATTGATTCCTATTAACTCACAGCTTTCCCCAGAGCTTCACTCTTTGTACCCTGCAAAGGAAACCCTGAAGAATAACTCCAGAAGCATACGGAGGTGCCAGGTGAGGCTCTTCTTCATCTTGTGAAGAGAGTCCACAGAGATTCTGAACTGTTTGATCCCATCTGAATGGCTCGGCTCATTACAGGCCCCTTTCCCACCATGCAGGCAAGCTCCCTGCACCAGCCATCTGATTCCATACCTGGTAGTACTGGTCGCAGACCCTCGGGAAACAGATCAGCCTTTTTCAAACTACACTTGCCTTCATTTAGCTTAAAGGTTACACTTGTCCTGACGGTGGCGACATCTTCAGAAAGAAACAAGTGAGAGATGTTACCTTCAGAGGCAAAGGAATGGAAACACCAGTGGGTAATGGAGAGCTGTCCATTGCTGGAAGTACACCCTGAGCCTCTCTCATGCTGAGACCAAGAAAGTTTGGGATTGGGGAGCACCCGTTCCCTTGGACTGGGGGCACCAGGAGCCTCCTAAGAGTTACACTTATCGCTCCATTTGAGATGAATCCAGGGCTCAAACATAACAAAGGAAGGGCCAAAAACAGCCTCAACAGTGAGATGAAAAATGAGGTCATTTCTGTGCCTTTCCAAGAAGGAAGGCCAGAATCCCCCAGTTCAAATTTGAGCAAGACAGCCGAGGGAAATGGAAGGGCAGATTCTCCTAAATAAGCCTGTCCTGGAAGGACAGGGCTGAGGGAGCCACCATTCCAGACAAGGATGGCACTCACTAAACGTGGCTAGGATTTTCAGGGTCTGTGAGGGAGCAAGTCCTACTCTGAGGGCCTCATATGGAAAATTCTGTTCTCCTTCCATGGTCAGTCTTAATCATGTTAGGCTCTGGAGCCAATGACCAGGATTCAAATTCCAGCCCTTCGACTTGTGATGAGAACTTGAGCAAGGTACTTAGTCTCCCTAAGCCTCAGTCTTCTCATCTGCAAAAGAGACATAATTACAGTCCTTACGTTACCGGGCTGTTGTGAGGATTAATGAGATAATGCAAAACAAAAAATGCTTAGCCTACTGTCTGGTACATAGTAAGGACTGAATAACTGTTAACTATTTGCTTGCTCACCTTAGGGTGGCCTTAATCTCCAAGTGATCATCACTACGAGTTTTGGTGAAACAGACCGTGAAGTCCCCTCTGGCTGGGTCCAAACATCAGACAAGAGGGGCAGTGAAGGATAGTGCTTAAGACTCTGGACCCAAACTGCCTGGTCAAAACCCTGGCTCCACTATTTCCTATCTGAGTCACTCTGGATATGTTATTTCACCTCTCTGAACCTCAGTTTCTTCATCTGGTTAATGAAGATAGCAGTAAAATTGCCCCAGAGGGCTGCAGTGTGGATTAGATCAGCTAATACATGTAACACAGCGGCCGGCATGTTTTAACTGCTCCATCAATTCACACGAGCTGTTATTATCATGCTTTGCATCTCTATCTTTGCTTATATACATAATATGGACATCAAGAACCATTTCCTTATTCAGATGTTCACATGATATCATCACAGATGTTTGTCTAAATCTGGGAGGACAAGGCCTCTTAAAAGCTTTAAATGTCCTTCTTTGTCTTTTGATAAAGGGTTTGGGCCCCTTTCCCTGGTCAGAATCCTTGCTCCCCTTGTCATGTCCCTGTCTCCACTGATGCCATGTGCCCCAAGCCCACATTTCCTGCCGAGCCTCTGAGGTGCTCTATGGTACAGGGAGTTGGGAAGACCTGCGTCTCCTGGTCCCAGAGCTACATGGGCCTCTGCCCAATATGATGACCCACCAGGGCTGCATGGAGCCTTCCGGCACACAATGGACACTCAGTAAGTGTCTGTTATGTGGCAAGTCAGATCGCAGGCACCAAGGCTACAGGTAAGAACATCCTGTAACGTGCTTGCGGCATCAAAGAGATTAGGAGAAAAGGAAACAAAGCCAACGCCCAAGAACAGTATCCCACGAATGAAGCCCATTGAACACAGTGAGCCCCAGAGACAACACGCAGGTTTGGTAATTACCCCCGAAAGCAGAGTCATTTGATTTTTGCTGTTTGCTCCTGAGAGGAGAGGAAGAGCCGCAGGTGACAGAATAGGCCTCTTGCAGTCCTGACAGACAGAATGTGGATCGTCAGCAGGTAAGCAAGGTTACAGTCTCTCCCGGTGGCAGCTCAAGTCACCTGCAACCCCACTCCACGTGAACCACTAGAAAAGCCCCCAGAATACAGGGTCTCAGAGCATGGGCCTCCAGTGGTCAGGGGTCAGCTGGTCAAAGACCTGGAAGCCCTTTGAAGCCATCTAACACCTGAAGGCCAGGAAGGCCTGGCCCTGGCATGAGGACCTGCCCCAGGGCCTGGGACCCACTCACCTGAAGAGAGGTGAATGCCAGAGAGACATCTGAGGAAGCACGCGTCTCCTCCACCACTCTTACCACACTGCAGGGACACGTGGGGTGATACGCTAGTGGGCAGGACCCCCTCCACTTCTAGACAGGACAAAATACAGACACTTACAGAGAGAGAAGGTGTGACAAGGACGGCTGAGTCCCATGCTCAAAGGCCCCAAGAAGAGAAGGTAGTGCCCACGCCCAGCACATAACACAGACACCACGTTTACTCCCCCCAGGGTAAAGGAGTGCCTTGTACTCTATTCTTTTCATGCAGAAAAGCAACCAGGAAAACAGAAGTGAGTTCCAACCTACGCAGAAGCACAGAAGGAAACACCGAAGGGCCTGCAAAGTATCTCCTGTTTTTGAAGGATTTAAAGAACGGCTGCTGCAGCTCGGCGGGAGGAGAATGCAGTGGAGGACTGGTCAGCCGCACTCCGGGTCCAGTGGGACCAGGGGGACATGGGAGAGTGCTGCTGGGCCAGCGGTGAGCCCGTGCCTCGGCGCCTCTTACCCACACAGTCTTTTTTATTCCAGTGGAGCTTGTGCGCAGAGTGGCACCGGCATTCGTAGCTGCCCACGGTGTTCACGCAGACCTGCTGACAGCCTCCGTTGTTGACGCTGCACTCATTCGTGTCTGTGGAGCAAAACGCTCTCCTGTCACAGCAGCCCTTTGCTGACCTGGCTGACACCATCGCTCCATCAAGGAAGGAGCAGGAGGTGAGTCGCACGGCTGAAGCTCACTGAACTAAGGGAAGGTGCTGACCGCCTTCAGAATGTGCACTTGGCACGAGCTGACCCACTCCCCACTCAGTGGTCTTCCTGGCACGAGCCTCACCAGCATGGACCAAACATTTCCGCCAGTAAGGACACTCAGAAGGGGTCACACTCTATTTTCAGGTGTCAAATTCAGACACTGCACAGGCTTCCAGTTTAAAACTCCACCATCCTCCTGGGCTACATCCCAAGAGAGACAGAGAGAATTAGGATTCCCAACTTGGCGGTTCATATAGTTGGGATATAGATAAGAAAAATGACTTGAACTAATCCCCATCAACTTGAGACTGAGTCCAGGTCAGTAAAACCCAAATACACGTCCATATTCAGGGAATATTTCCTTGGGTTTCCTGATGGACTGGAAGGGCGTGTGTTCAGCCATGCCAGGGATGTGTTGAAAAGGAGAAGAGAAACAACACTATCTACAGCAAATCACTACTATCCATTCTTCTTAAGGACACAGGAAACAAGGATTGGGTAGGAATTACTAAAGCCAGGGGTTCCCACATCCTCAGATCCCCAAAATCACCTTGAAGCCCTAGACTTTTAGAATAAGAATCAGAATCTGTATTCTCAAAGATTGCTGAATGAATCTGATGATTAGAGAGAGCAGAGTGACGCCAAATCCGACTTAAGCCATAGTTTACTTAGTTGTAAGGTCATGAGACATCAGAACATGTTGCTGCAAGGGCTAAGAGCAGGGAGACAGAGTCCATGGTCCCACTTCCAGCTCAGAGACCTGCACAAAGACCAGCTCAAAGAGCTCAAACCAAGCTCTGCAGCCAGTTCCTATGCACAGCAGAGCTGTGGAATCGGTTGGTGCACTGCCAAGCCTCTCTGAGGGCCGTGACTTTACTATCTTGGGAAGCTCCAGTGGACAGGGCCCCAGCTCCTGAGAGATCCACCCACGGTCTGAGTACAACTGTATCAATAAAGTCCATAAAGAATTCACAGCTGAAAGAGCTCAGCTCTTCTCTCTGCTCCATTTCACACCTGACGAGTTAAAGGGATCAATGTGGGACGATTTCCCATAGCAGCTGCTTCCCTCGAGTCGATGGACTCCCTACTACTGTATAGGGCCTGGTATGTCCGGTTCAGCCCCCAAGGTAGAAAAACTGGCCCTGATCTAGGGGAACCTTAGGAATAAGGCCCAGCCTCATCCGACTCTAGAGGGATTCCACTCACCTCCACAGTGGGTTAAGCCATAGAGGGTGTACCCTTTGTTGCAAGCACATGCAAACGTGCCAGGGTGGTTGATGCAGCTGTGGTCACAGGTCCTATCCAAAGAGCATTCATCCACATCTGTAATTGTCAAAGGGAGAGGGGAGCTGAAACCAACTCTGAGGGACAGTGGAGAGAAGAACACACTTATAAGAACACCAGTTGCTGACCAATAACAAAAACAACAAAGTAAAAATTATCTATCAGTTCTCCCTGCTCACTTGTGTTAAACAAAGTGTTGAGCAGCCCACAATAAGTATACTCACAGCAAGGACCCTTATTTCCAAATTCTGTTGCACACTGCACTTGCCTAAAAGCTCAGCTGGTCTCTCTCACCCATGCTTATCTGCACGGCTGAATAATTTAAAATATTTAAATGAAGTCAAATGAGATAACACAACTAAAAGGGGTTTGTAAACTATTAGGGTGCTGCCTGTGCATTATTACTGTTCTATTACTAATTGGTAAAGGAGCAATAGTAATTTTATAAGCTATGGCCAATTAAAAGGAGAAAACACTTGAGCTGGAGATAAATCTAGCTCCTATCTCTTTTGGGTCTTGCCAGAATTCATCTTCTGGCCCCAGGAGGCCAGTTGATCCTGGGTTTTAATGCCCTCTGCACTAAAAGAATGCATTAACATTAACATCCTCAGTAATTTCCTATTGCAGACACTGAAATGTGGTGCTTAAGCACCAAACAGGATCCTCTTGGCCAATCCCTTGGCTTTGTTCCTCCCCCATGGTTCAGTCCCAGTTCCTCCCCCATGGTTCCCTCCCTTCCCGGTTCAGCATGAAGGCATCCTTGGCTGCAGTTGAGGTCATGGAAACTAGCCTCAGGAGGCTGTATTTGTCAGTCTAATCATCTCTTCTTCCCTGGTCTCATTCTTACATCTTTCCTATACACTAGAATCTCAGTGCTTCACTTCCTCAACTCTTTGGAAGATTTTAACAGAGTTATGACTTGTATCTCCAAATGGATAAACCAGGACCAGCACAGGACTCAGTGGAAGCCAACTAGACCACTGCTAGATCCCTTTTCAACACCAAATGTGCCACGAGAAACTATGTTAATAAAAAACAAACACTTGGAAGGCACTGGAGGAATGAAAAACATGAAATAAAAAAGGGCAAAATCTTACAAAACCTCTTCATCCGTAACTTTTCCCAGAAGTCCTGACCATTTCTTTAGTAAGTTTGTTCTGTGTAAATATTTGTTCGACCAAGACTGATCAGTGAAAAATGAGAAAAAGTCCACTTCTTCTGTAGTAATTGATATCATTCTATGAATTCTTTTATTAATATCAGCCAGTTACCGAGAAAGTGGGCTCATTCAGTAGCTGACTTTGGCTGCTCACAACAGGCTTTTGCTTTGTCAAAAATAAGCAGATCGCTTTTCTAATTCCTTTTTAATGTGTTTACACAGCTTAAATAGTATTTCTTGCTCTATACATTATGAAACATTATGTGGAACAGCAAATTTTCCTTCCAAGTCAAACAGAAGAAAACTATGCAGTAGTCATCTTAGAGTGAACTCGCTGAATTTAAAGGGGTGTGAAGTGTCTGACAAATTATGTACCAAGAAGAAAAGACCAAGAGAGAAACCTAATTCACACCATAAGATTATAAAAAGGTAATGTCGCATCTTTTTTTTTTTTTTTTTTCTTGCGTTATGCGGGCCTCTCACTGTTGTGGCCTCTCCCATTTGCGGAGCACAGGCTCCGGACGCGCAGGCTCAGTGGCCATGGCTCACGGGCCCAGCCGCTCCGCGGCATGTGGGATCTTCCCGAAACGGGGCACGAACCCGCGTCTCCTGCATCGGCAGGCGGACTCTCAAGCACTGCGCCACCAGGGAAGCCCCGCATCTTTATTATATGAAGTGAAATCAGATACTGTTTTCTGATTTTGATTTAATTCTGGGGTTTCTAACAAAATAAGTTAGGCTGTTCTTATTCTCAGCAATGGATCAGAAATAAATGACAGCACATCTTTCCTGAGAGTTTCTTTCTATATATCAGTGGGGCATAAAATGTGCTCGTCTGAAAATATAAATGATGCCCCCAACCCAAAACAGCTTATCACTGTGCAAAACACTTATTAATATCAACAGCTGCTACCCAGAGAAGTTCCCTTGCTGCACCACTTATACGGGAAGTATGTGTCTGAGAAGGGGTCTGAAATCCTGCCCAAGGACTGCCCACCCTTTCCTCAACTTAATCCCCTCCCTCCCTCACCCCTACCCTTTCCCCAAACACCAAAGGCTGGTCATTCAAACAAGGCCTATAAGGAAGGGACCAACTGGTTGACCCCAACTTTTTGCTGAGAAAAGGTATGTTAACTAAATCAACATCTTTTTGTCACCAAATTTTGTTAGAATATCCATAACATTAAAGGGAATTTTAGAAAGGGAAAATTATTCATAATTTCAACACCCTAATGCAACCCTGCTTGCATTCTGTGATCCATTCCATTTCTAGCAGCGAGCTCCGCTGTAATCACACCACATGGGTTCACTGAGGTGTTCTCTAATCATTAACAGCTTAATTTCCAAAATATACCTGTGAGCTACCTCAGTGTTTTTATTTTACTTAACAGATGAAATAAGTGAAGCACAGGGTGAAGGTTGGATTAATGACTCCGTTAGAGAAGCCCAGCGAGCCAGTCTCTGCCCAAGCAGGGTTTCGTCTTCTCCAATCCAACCAGTGGGCATTACACAGCACACCTAGCTATGTTTCAGCACATACCTTGGCAAGACTTCTCATCTGTTAATAATTTAAATCCCTTTTTGCAGCTGCAGTCAAAACTGCCCACGGTGTTTTTGCAGAAATGATCGCAACCTCCATTGCGCGTCTGGCACTCATCAATATCTGTAACAGTCAAGCATCGGCAAATCAGACAGCGATACTTGCCTCGTTATCCACAAATCCCTGAAGTGCTACTGTGTGTGCTTCATTATTCTCTGAAACAAAACAGACCCATAAAAGCATTTAAGGATGTTTGCTGATGTTTTTAAACTTACACATGTTCTCTTGTCTGGCTTAACCCATTTTGAAAGACAAGTGCCTGGTTCCCTGGAGAACTCTGACTTACACTGCCCCTCCCTTGACTAGCATTAAGGAAACAAGTTATGGGAAAGAACGGTGATGTCCTATTATATTCTCATCCTTGCACAAGTCTCTCAAGATAAGATGGCTTCCTTTCCTATACTTTCCATTCCAGTTTAATGATTAAAGTTATAAGGAACTAGAATATTTGTTTTGGCAAATTACACCATGATCAAATAGCCTCAATGCTTTTAAGTGATTTCTGATACTCAATTAATTTTATCTTTTCTCACTTTCAACTGGTAACTGGTTATCTACTTTTTTTATCACGTTAAAGGACTAAGCCTTTGTACTCTGGCCCAGGAAATACTAGGTCATCGGGGTCTCTATTCATCAGTACAAGTTAATCGTATATTCACTGTCCTCTGGATAACAATCTTGGCTGTTATTTATATAATAATCTCTAGACTGTTATTTATGATATGATGATATTATCTCCTGCAAATGAATGTTCCCTTGAACAACTGCTTTCTTCTAACAAGGCCACTGCCTGCAATGGATCATTTGATGTTTGTAGAAGCTGACCTTCTCAACAGTTAGTGAAATTAAGCTGGTTCTAATTAAGCTTACTCAGTTACAACCTTCTACTAGCCCAGGGAAGAAAAGCTTCCTTTTGATCAATATGAATCATAAGCAAATCTGGAGTCACTCAGGAGGTGTGGAGGGGAAGAGCTGCCTTTACTCCCACACATTAGCTGCATGGAGAGGCACAGGATACCTTTACAGGTCTTCCCATCCAACTGGAGACTGAATCCGACGGGACAACTGCAATGAACACCTGTCGAAGTATCCTTACAGGTGCGATCACAGCCTCCATTGTTGACAGCACACGTTTCTGCCAAGGAGGTAAGAAAAAGGCAGTTAGCTTCCTAAAGAAGTGCTCACACAGCTGGGAAGAAAGGGGTATTGGTGCAGTGTTAATACTTGACAAAAATTCATGAAAGTCAGGAAGCGTGTGGGGTCCTCATGGTCATATTCCAAGCCTCTGCCACCCGCAGGTGAGTTACAGGGAGAACAGGGGCAGCTCCTCCCCGCACCCATCTAAATAAGTGACATCTCCTGAGGAAGCCTGACAGGGTGAGAGAGGGGGAAAGATGCCTCTGCCAACCTGCTGAGCCTTTTCAGTGGCAGATTTGAAGCCACTAAAAGTTCCTGTTGATCGACAGCCAGTGACCTGCAAGTATGACCACATCTAGCAGCCTAGATGTGAATGCAGAACACAGCAAAGGGGGATGTTCCTTCCTTTATCCTGAACCTTCTCTATTCACCATGTGTAATGGGCAAAGCAAGAGAGGGTAAACGTCGCCCATGCCACCCATTCCCTTGCCGCAGACCAATGACTTCCTCCTGGCAACTGCCAAGTAACTCAGATTAGAAGTTTACCTTTCCTTGAAAGGAGAAAGACCTGTCATAGTTACATGAAAAAGCAGCCGCGGTTGTTAAATCATATCTATAGAGATGAAGAACAACAAGCTAATGGCCTTCTATTTCTGTATATCATGCATGAATTCCAAGTAATACACAAATGTTATTCAACATTCATTCAACGGTTAGCACTTAGGCATCCAGAAACTGATTTTACTTCCATAGCTACCTCTGTAAAGACTCGGGGGCGGGGGGTGGGCGGTAAACTTAATTCTGATTAAATATGACAGATAGAACATGTATGTTTATCTCTGTTTCCTCACCAAAACTCATTAAAATGAGAGTAAATAAATTTTTTAAAGTATAAATCCTTAAGGACAAATAAAAGACAATAGATGAAAGATGTCAAATCTTCTGGAAGTGGCATGTCAATGGAGGAACAGTAACTGGCATAGCAGAAAGTTAAACCCTAGCAGTGGGGCTTCCCTGGTGGTGCAGTGGTTAAGAATCTGCCTGCCAATGCTGGGGACATGGGTTTGAGCCCTGGTCCGGGAAGATCCCACATGCCGTGGAGCAACTAAGCCCATGTGCCACAACTACTGAGCCTGCACTCTAGAGCCTGTGAGCCACAACTACTGACCCCGTGTGCCTAGAGGCCGTGCTCTGCAACAAGAGAAGCCACCGCAACGAGAAGCCTGCACACCGCAACGAAGAGTAGCCCCCGCTCTTTGCAACTAGAGAAAAGCCTGCACACAGCAACGAAGACCCAACGCAGCCAAAAATAAATAAATAAATTTATAAAAAAAAGAAATAACTGTATACACTTCCCTTTTCAGAAACATGTGGGAGGGGGAGCCAGGAGAAGAAACAACCAGGAGAATTGAAAATTGTGGCCCCTGGCAAATGGCTAGTTAGGAGACAGGGAAATGATATATTGCTTTACAAGCTTAATAGTGCTAATTAAGTTTTTAAGGTTTTTACATTATTCATATGTACTATTTTAAGGCAATTAAAAATAATAATTTTAATACGGCAGAAAAGAGCTCAGAAATGTCACCTGCCTGGGAACCAGTGGCTGCTTAATATCTTACCTATTAAATCCAGAAGCTATCGAAAGCTCAGTTTTGTTGAGGCCAGGCTGAGCTTTCCCCAGAATAATAACGTCAGATGATCTGATGCCCACCCTCACAGCCACCGCTGAGCGTCTGCAGTCACCTCCAGCTCCAGCAGACCGGCTGCCAGACCTTCCTGTGTCCCCCAGCCAAGTGCCACTCTTCTCCATTCATCTCTTCTGCCATTAGCATGGGCTGAGTCCAAAACAGAAGACTCAGTGGACAAAAACCCAGCCAAATTGCCATATGCTAAATAGGGGCTGCCCCAAATGCCTCTCTCGTCACAGTTACTCAGAGGGCGGGTGGTCTGACATGAACTGACCACCCACTAAGTCCCAGACAGCGGACTCTGGGCACTTTTGCATATTATTGTCTTAACCGATCTCCCTGATAACCCTAAGAGGTCAACTGTATTACATCCATTTTAGAGGAAGACCAGGACACAGCAGCTTGGGACAGTTTGCCCACGTCTCAGCGCAAGTCTCAGCAGCATTATGACGCTAACCCAGTTATTCTGATGGCTGGGCCGGTGCTCTTCCCACAATACCAGGGGTCCTGGATGGTGACTAAGCGATAGCAGTGAGTGGAGAGCAGACACACCCTGGCTGGACAGGAACTGCTGACTCTAATTCAGCTGGTCTGAGGGCACATGGGCCCCAGGTTCAGGCGTGATGCAGTAAGTTGGGGAGGAAAAGGGACAACGTCAGTGGCGGGGGAGGGTGGATGAGGCGCCTACCCATGAGCAGCCGCCGTTTCACCCGTTTATCCCCATCTGCCACGGATGTGGCATTGCTCTCCATCACCTCCAGGGCAGTGTCCTCTCGCTCTGCAAGAGATGCAAACAGCACAGTTCTCAGACTAAATGAGTCAGATTGTTCATCCCCTGCACAGCCACTGCTGTGGAAATCCCAGACATGAGAACAATTTGAGAAATGTGACTCTGTTCATTCAATAAAAATATGTTGTAATGAGGCTCTGTGTTAAATGGCCTCAGAGCCTTAATAGACATTAAATATGGAAAAGATTTTTTTATTCTACTGTACTAACCAGAGACCTTGGGGAACGCAAGCTTCAGATTCACTCCAGAACCCTCAGTCCAGGACAAAGAGAATCTTGGATTGGGGAACATCTGAAATGGAGCTAGCAAAGGACACACCATGAAGGGCAGGACAGGCAGGCATCCCACCATAAATATGCAACCCTGGCTCGTGCTGATGGCAAAGGCCACCTGTCATCATGAACAGCTAGCTTTGACTTTGCGTTGCCCTGGCCTTTTGGGATGTGCTGTTCCGATCTTCCGAATACCAGCTTCAGGATCAGCCTAGTCCAGGAGAGGAAAAAGGGCTTTCCAAGGTCTCACAGGGAGAAAGGGGCCCCCAGTCCGGGCCTGGACTACCTCCACGGCCACACGTGAGGCAGCATGGGACATGCTTGAGGGCATGTGCACTGGAAACACCCTGCCTCTAGTACTAAACAATATTAATCGTTAGGGTTAGGGCTGGGGTGGGGCGAGCAGGCTGGGGAAGACCCTAATCCAGTGTTGGGGTCACCATTCACCAAGGCAGCTCCTTCCATCCGTGTGCATCTTGTACTGGGGATGGCAGCTACACTCTGGGCCTGCAGCAGTGTCCTCACAGGAGTGATGGCATCCGCCATTTCCATGGTTACAGGTCACTGAGAGGAAAAAGAATCAAACCATAAAGCACGGAGATTTCCACAACTGGGGCTGTATTTGCCCCCGAAGAACTCTGATTTTCATTCAGGACGTATTCGAGCACCTAGCATGTGCTAGGAATTGTGCATAAAAGAGAGAACCTTGACTCAGACCACGTCCCTGTCTATATCAACAGGTAGTCACGATATGACTTGTAGAAATGATTAATGACAGATTTAGAGCAACGTTATACAGGAAGATAGACATGGGAAGGTCAGGGGAGATTTTTCACTATTTAAAGGAAATTACACCAAAAGATTCCAAACTACTGCTTTGCTCTATCACAAGAAGTACTAGGGCATTTGGAAATGCTATAACACTTAATATCTGGAACAGACAACATTTAATTTGTATGTATATGTTAGGATTTCTCTCATCAGATTCCATGTGGATTAGTTAAAAGGGAGGGTAATCAGAGGAAATGATGACTCTTTGCACACAGTTAATGCAACATTAACCAATAATTACAAAAATTATAAATGAACACATTGATGACAAGCCAAGGGGGGAAAAAAACCAACTACAAAACTATCTATTCATCAAACTCAACAGTGGTTACCTCTGGCAAAGGAAACGGCAAAGGAAAAGGGGGAAATGTTAAATGTTTCTTTGGACTGTTTAACCTCTTACACAACCATTTTTAATTTTCTAATTTAAAAGAACTAAAAACATATTTGCGCCATGAGAAAAAACTGTTCTGTGACTATAGCTGTGTAAAAATTGTGTACGCATATCAACAACAAAATAGGAATATAAAAAAGCAAAACAACTGATTGTGTGGTGGAATTCTGGATTCTTTATTATATCCTCAAGTTTTATAATATCTGAATATAATCTTATAATATTACTTGAGCAGTGATACCTTAAAAACGTTTTAAATTTTTAAAAGTAAGTTTTCAGGTATTCTACTGGCTCCCAAAAAGCTATAAAATGCTGAGTCTCACTCCACAGGTGACTCTCCTGTGGAGACCTGGGTCCTCCTTTTGAAGACAGCTGGAGCCAGCCCCACTTTTAGGGGCCCTGTGAGGCTGTCAGAACCTGTTGTTGGTGACGGTGACATCAGCCCTGGTTTGTCAGGCTTTGAGGTTGCACTCTGGTTTGCAATGGAGACAACAGAGAGGAGTCTCTCACCGACGAAACTGCCTCTCCTTCTCTTAACCACTGAGGCCTACTCACTGTAAACAACCATCCCCAGCAAACTGCAGGCGTCTTCTAGAGGGTCCATGACTTTGGGAAGAGTTCCTACAGGGAAACCCTCAGTGTTTCCTCTGGTGTAAATACTGGTTTAGAAGCACCTTTAATGGCTGGTTGTTTCCTATTATCCATTGGAGCTATTATTGTGTTTCCTCATCATGTGGCAGCTGCGTCTGGACTGTGTACACCATTCATTGACTCATCCATCAAACAAATGTGGATTGAGCACATCCAGGGGAAGACTGAGAGGCAAAAATAAGACAAGATCCCTGACTTGGTGGGGCTCGTAGTTGGGGAGACAGACACATAAATTCAACTCCAGATTCAACCCAATTGTGTGGTTGAATCAAACACACGATTCAACCCCAGAGTGCCACGTGCTATCATCAAGGAATAAACAGCGCTATGGGAGCCAAAATACAAACTGGCTGCCTTGTCTGAGGCCATCGGGGAAGGCTTCTGAGGTTATGTAGCATGGTGACCAGGAGCACAAGGCTTACAGTTAAGCAGGCCTACGTGTGAATCCTACATTTGCCACTTACTTCCTGTGTGACCTTGTAGCTTTACCTTCTCCACGATTTTCTCCACTTAGCTCATAAGGTGGTGACTGTAAGAATTAAATGCAATATGGCACCTCTTTAGACAAGGCTTTGCACATAATAAATGCTCCCCCAAAGTAGCTATTATCTTTATCATGATTAGAAGTTAGGCAGGATATTAAAAATTGAGTGAGAATTCACCAAGCTAGGAAGGAAGGAAGGCTTAGAAAAGCCTTGGAGGCATGAAAGAATGGGGGCTTTCTCCAAAAGCCAGGAGTCTGGTGTCTGGAGAAAGGAGGCTGATGAGGCTTGTATAAGAAGCAGGCACCAGGTACCAAAGAGCTGCCAGATGAAGAAATTTGACTCTATTCTATGGGAACAGAGAGACCTGGCCCCCAACATTCACATTCCTTACTCCTGAGTGCTATTTCTTTCCGACTGGTTCTTTTAGAAAGCATCATTTCCCTTCCCTACAGGAGATTACCCTCAATATCTCACGTGACTGCCTTCCCTGATGTTTCTGATGCTGGGCTGCATAAGACAACCTCTGGGGTAGGATGGTTCCCAGAACAGCTGTGTGCCAGTCTGTACTTACAGGTGCAGTCTCTCTGGTTCTTGGCCAGCTCAAAACCAGGCCTGCACTCGCAGGCAACGCTGCCCCTCGGGGCCTCCTTGCAGATATGACTACAGCCGTGATCCTTATTCATGCAGCTCAGACCCTCTGCAAAACAGCAGCACGCAGCCAATGACCAGGTTGCAACAGAATCCTGACCCCGGGAGTGAGGCAAGGGTCTGGGGGGTGGGCCACAGACCTGCCTGCCTGGGTGTCCATCAGTCCCATGTTTTAAAAGAATACATCACTCAAATCAAGCCAGGTCATTTAACAGAGGTATGAAAACTTTCTTATGTCACCCAAGAGATAGGATGTTTCAACTCCCCAAAAGAGGTAGGAGCTCTCCCAATACACTGAAAAGAAAGTACCCACCAGGAGGGAATTCCCTGGTGGTCCAGTGGGTAGGACTCCGAGCTTTCACTGCCGAGGGCCCGGGTTGAGTCCCTGGTCGGGAAACTAAGATCCCGCATGGCATGGCCAAAAAAATTTAAAAAAAAAAAAGAAAGAAAGTACCCACCAGGAGCTCTCTGTTGGGTGTGGAATCAGAACCTGTGGACCCCAGGAACATGTCCTCAGACTCTTATCTCTGCCATGTTGTTACCCATGCTGATCAAGAATACAAACAGAAAAGGAGAATCTCTCTACAAAAATCTGAAGATAGACTGATGAAGATTCCCAACCTTTTCACATATTCTTGAAGATGACTTTCAGAAAATTTCAACCCTCCACTCTACCCCCACCAAATCCACACTTTGGAGATGACTGTGACTACTGTATCTCAGCATCACCCCATGGACACCTGCCCAGGGACCTCTCTTATGTGACCACCTTCAGTTAGTCCCTGGGCCCTCCCTCAGTGGGCTTGGAGGACAACAGCAGAGAGAACAGAGAGAGACCTCATATATGTGGTTTCCTTTTGCTGCTGTAAAATCCTTCTCAGGTATACTGTAATTTTCATTAGGCCCGATCTTGTGGTAACTGTGGCAGGAAACAGGGTTATTTTCCTGGATGGTTTATCATGCATCTAAATGATGGGGTCATAGAAAAGTAGACACCTGTGTGGTTTGCCACCATCAGGCCTCTTCTCAGTACCAATCCTTTAGGGGGCTCTGCAACCTCCCAGCACTCGGAAGGAACTGTTATCAAACCCAAGAGTAATCTCAAAACCTCTCCTTGGTTTGTACAACATTAATAAGTACGTATTCATGTGATGCTTCTTTGCATTTGTGCAATGTTAACTCTAAAACATCTTTAAGAGTAGGGATTTTGCTCTCATTGATTCTCCACTAACAAGACATTTTCTAATACTGGAAGTGGCACTGTTTTAACATGAGCACAAAAAGCTTTCATTCAGCTTCGCTAGGATCCAATACTGTTCCGTATTGTGCCCCTAAAACCTTAGCCAATTGGTTCTAATGAAGTCAAAAGTCATTTCTCTCCAGTTCTCACCATGGGGCCGTTGACCTGTGCTTAACTGGAATGATTGTTTTAATACAAACAGATGTCATTCCTATTCCAAAAGACAGAGCAACAGTTAATACATCCCATATTCTCTTAAAACTATCTTGTTTTTTATCTGACAGTTACAGGCTGTTTGAACTCCACCACTCAATCTGCTGGAAGTTGCTGGGATTCATTCACCCGTGCCAAGGGCTGCTGTCAATTAACACAGAAAAAAGCCTGCACGGGATCAGTGGAAAGCTCGCTCTTTGCTCTGGCTGGTGACTTCTGAAGGCGTTATTTGCTCCCAGTAATAAGATGGCACAGAAGGTAAGAGTTGCTTCCAGAAGCAGTGTCCTGTCCTCCTAGGAAGGCCCAGCAAGCATTACCTTTGTTCTTGGATCAGCAGAACATCTGAAATAATAGGGCCCAGGAGTACCCAAGGGTAAACGTAACAGTGCCCAAGAAAAGGTAGCAGTAACACCTGCGAGGTACACTCCTACACAGGTCAGCTGCTTCCTCCTCTTCTTTTTCTTTTTCATTCTGTTTACAAGTCTGTTCAGACATTTGCAAAGTGACCTTTACTGCCTCAGAGCAATCCATTTACACAAGAGATATTTTTTAAGAACTGACTGTGTGCCAGATACCATGGGGATACAAAGAAGTTGCCCCCTGATGTCATATCCTATCGAGCAAGACCTAAAGTTACCAGGAGATGTCGGAGGTTTAAATGGCTCTGGAAATGCTAAGGGCTTTTTAAGAGTTGACCCCGAAGCTTTTCACAGTCCCCTGGCTCAAAACAAGGTCACTGCTAGGGGTGGCAGATGGATCTGGTCCAAACTGGGAGGCCCAGCTATGGTTCTGGCTCCCCCAGAAACTGCCCTGGCAGTCCTGTTTCGGGTCGTTATTTCACCAGGAAGGAAACAGCTCAGAAATGTGAGAAATATCCCATTCTGGTGGTCCCCAGGCTCAGGGTCTCACTGAATAATATTTCTGGAAACGAAATAAAAGTATGCCTTGCAAATAGGGCAAGAAAAGGGGGAAACAGCCTCTGCCGAGAGCACAGCCTCTTCCTCACTAACCTGACACCTTCCTTACTACTCTAAAAAGGCAGCAGTGCAAACATCTAAAAATACTCTCGGAGCGGACAAAACAAAAGAGGAATGCTCATTTTGAGAGCCTGAGCTCCCATGAATAGGCACAAAGGCAGGCTGGGGCGGTGTGTCTCCCTCTAGCCTACCCTCATTACATGGGTGAAAACACACAGTCTCTTTATCAGAGCTTTGGGGTCTCTAAGGATGAAAAAAACACAATAGCTTGAGTTTCTCTCAGAATCAGCTATTAAGATCCCCTATATTAAAGAACATTTAGTAAATAATTATTAAAAACAACAACAGCTACACTAGAAAATGCTAGCTTGCGGTGTTTACCTTCTTTCAACCATCTTCAGAGTATCAGCTATGGGTTTTAATGTCTATTTTAATACAGTTTCTAAGGGTTTAATGTGCACATCAAGGAGGAAACCCTACAGGAATACTGTTTACAGATGGCTCTATTTGAAGAGTTAAAACCCTAGGATGGAAGGGGGCAGCTGCAGACCGCTCCAATCTGCTGGCTCACGCTGCCGTGAATTTGCCCAGCAATCAGGTTGAAACACAACAGAAAATCACAGAGAGTGCTTCCAGACCACAACTCAAATTCTTGTATTTTGGTTTATAGCTCCAGACAAATATGCTCATTTTAAATACTCTTCAGGGGTTCTAAGAATGTCTGAATTGTAGAAAATTTAGAAAACACAAATTGCGGAAAGGAACTGCTCTTGTATTTACTCCTGGTGTGAGGAGCCCGTGTCTGTAATCAGTCTAGGGGGCTTGGAGCCTTGTCCAGTCTGGGACAGGAGAAAGGGGCTGAGCCACTGCTCTGGAAGAGTGAGGGTAAGAGGTGATCTTAATCACCGAGAGTGGCTTCGTGAGTGGTGGGACCCGTACTGGGGGTGTTCAAGCCCTGGCTTGACCTACAGGGCGCCACCCCCCTCCCCACCGCCTGAAGAGAAAGCCAGAGTGACTTTCCAGGAAGCAGCTTTGAGCAACCAAAAGGGAGAGGCCCTGAGATCCAGATCATTCGCGCTGCTGGCATCTTAGTTCAGCCTCTGACTAGAGGCAGAGCTCACCCAAGAGTCCAGAGAACCCCGGCAGGAAAGTGAAAATGAAACCTAACTGCTACTTAATCAAGGGCCACACACCTGCATGAGATGAGAGATCCACCTGATTAGGGTCGGTGTCTATGACCACCCAGCTTCCACACTGACAGTGAGCAGGCTTGGGTAATAAGAGCATCCGACTCCCCATTTCTCTGACCCTTCTTCTTAGTACCCAGACGGGCCTTCTGGTTAGGGATAAGAAAGGGGCCATCATTCTTGGAAAATGAGGCAAAAATCATCTTCCACAAAGAAACCCTTGAAAAATCACTAAAACCACCACGATTAAAACAATAAATCTACAAATCTACAAATAATAGAAGAACTGAAAATCACCACATTCTTAAGTTATGAGGATGAATATGCAGCACATGCCAAAAGGAGTTAACAGTCTAGGATTTGGGGCACTTCCCTTAAAAACAGGCACAGGCAACCTTGGGGGACATACAGCCATCAAACTGTGGTTCTTTGGGGACTTCCCTGGTGGCACAGCGGTTAAGAATCCACCTGCCAATGCAGGGGACACGGGTTCGAGCCCTGGTCTGGGAAGATCCCACATGCCGTGGAACAACTAAGCCCGTGCACCACAGCTACTGAGCCTGAGCTCTAGAGCCCGCGAGCCACAACTACTGAGCCCGTGTGCTGCAACTACTGAGCCCACAAGCCACAACTACTGAAGCCTGTGTGCCTAGAGCCCATGCTCTGCAACAAGAGAAGCCACTGCAATGAGAAGCCCGCGCACCGCAACGAAGAGGAGCCCCTGCTCACCACAACTGGAGAAAGTCTGCACGCAGCAACAAAGAGCCAACGCAGCCGAAAATAAATAAATAAATAAATAAATAAATAAAATTAAAAAAAAAACTTGGTTCTTTGGCTTAAGAAAGAGCAGAGAATTAAAAGCACATCACTGAGTTCAAAGTGGCTGATGGGCCACAGGTACTTAATTCCTCTCCCTGCTGAGAATCCACTGAATAGAAAAATAAAGTAGGTATAAACTCAAAGCAGAGAGAACGAGCCATCAGAGAAGAATTTTCTGCAAATTTATGGAAGAATGGTAAATGACAGCATGGAAAACCATAGTATAGAGACCCCCAATCTGGGGAGGGGGTCCACCTGCCCCCTGGAATCCCAGAAGCTCAGAGTTCAAAAATGCAAAACACAGGGAATGCCGGGTCTTGCTGAAAACAGGGCAATTCACTGAGTCTCCAAAGAAAGGCTCCAGTCCCTCCCTCCCCAAAAAATGTGCTGTGCTTTCCAGCACCTTTCTGAAAAACTGGGCAGATCATCCATTGCATTTCTCCTGAGACGTCTAGTCATGTTTGAAATGTACTCCATTTAGAGATTAGAATCAGGGAATGTGAGAGTTTGAAGAGACCTCAGAGCTCACCCAGTCCAACCCACTTTTTTAGCACGGTGAGAAAGGTGCAGCTAAAATAACCTGCCCACTTGTCCTCAGGCCTCCAGGCTTTCTAAAACCCGTGCTTCCCCTCTAGAGCCTTTGAGGATGGGGGTGGGGGATTCTCAGATGTGACCCTGCCCCCTGCCCCCAGCCGAGCAGAGCTACCTTCTGAGCGGTGAATGCACGTGTGCTGATTGTCACTCAGGAAAAACCCCTCCTTGCAGCGGCACTCGTAGCTTCCCATGACGTTGACACAGGTGTGCTGGCAGCCGCCATTGTTCTCCAGGCACTCGTCCACATCTGGAGAGGGAGAAGGCTTAGCCTTTGCTTTTGTGACTGCTTCACACACCGCCCCACCCACCACCACCCTGCCCCGGCAGCCCAGGGGCTCCTGCTAAGCAGAGATGAGGTGTCAGGTCCTTTCATCACAGGAGCTCTCAGAACTGAAGCCAGTGGGGCCGCAGGTAATTAACCCAGCCTTCATGGGTCTAGAGCTCCCTTAAACAGGCCCTCCACCTGGACACCTGGATAATCAGTTCAGTAAGTATTTATTGAACACCTCTTTCCTAAGCACAGTGCTAGAGGAGACAATAAAACACAGATGCATAAGATCGAATTCCTTTGCTCTGGAGCATCTCCTTCAGCAGAGGGAAAGA